TCCTTTCCAAAAGAACTCTCTCAATGGCCTCCAGCGCGTCCCGCCGGGGTCCCGGAAGGATGCCGAACGATCTTCCAGAGGTGGTTGCAAAGAGTTTTCCGTTCCAGACGGATGGCCCAAGATGCACCCAAGACGGCCTAAGATGGCCTCAAGATGGCCCGAAACGGTCCAAGAGGCTCCCAAGAGGCCTCCAACCCAAGAGGCCTCCAAGAGGTCCTCCAGGAAGGCCCGAAGAGGCCAAAATCATTGATGTTCCTTAGGTGTTTGAAAGGATTTTGGCATTTGCGCCGTTTCGGCTTTCCGACGGCCCAAGACGGCCCAAGAGGCCCCAAAGGTCGCTGCAATATCGCCCAAGAGGCCTTCAAGATGGCCCCATGACGGCCCAAGAGGCCCCTCAAGACGGCCCCAAGACGGCCCAAGAGGCCTCCAAGACGCCCTCGATGGCCTCGAAGACGGCCAAGAATGCCCAAGACGGCCTCCAAGATGTCTAGAAGACGGCCAAGATGGCCTCCAAGACGGCTAAAATTGCCCCTAGATGCCTCCAAGACTGCCCAAGATGCACCCAAGACTGCCTTAGATGGGTCCAGGAGGCCCCCAAGAGGCCTCCAAGACGGGCAAAAGAGGCCTCCAAGAGGTCCTCCAGGAAGGCCTGAAGAGGCCGAAATCATTGATGTTCCTTAGGTGTTTGAAGGATTTTTGTCTTTGCGCATGTTCGGCCTTCCGACGGCCCAAGACGGCCCAAGAGGCCCCAAAGGTCGCTGCAATATCGCCCAAGAGGCCTCCAAGATGGCCCCATGACGGTCCAAGAGGCCCGCCCCAAGAGAGCCCCAAGACGGCCCAAGAGGCCTCCAAGACGCACTCGATGGCCTCGAAGACGGCACATATTGCCCAAGATGGCCTCCAAGATGTCCAGAGGACGGCCAATATTGCCTCCAAGACGGCTAAGATAGCCCCAAGATGCCTCTAAGACGGCCTCTAAACCCCAAAATGGCCTCTAAGAATGTCAGAGCGACACGGCTTTCGGCTTGAAGTAGCTTGACTCCTCCCTACCCCGTACCCCTGGATCTGGGGAGGAAGGGCGGCGGGTAGATAAACCGTCCAAGATGGCCCAGGGCTACAAGAGGGCCTCAGTCTAAGCTGTCCTCCAAGATGGTCCAAGATAGTGCAAGATCGCTCAAGATGGTTTCCAACATACTCCAAGAGGTACCAAGAGAGCTCCAGGACAGGTCCAAGTAGCCTTGGGGGCCCCCCGGACGCCCCCAATAGGGCAAAATCAATCCAGAACCTACGGAAATTCAATGGGCTTGGCCTTCACGCCGATTCGCTTCCGATCGCCGTCCGAGGCCTCAAGATGGCCCCAAAGGGGCCCCAGAGAGACCCACGAAAGGCACAAGAGGGCTCTAAGAGCGCCCAGCATACGCCCCAAGAGCGCCCCAAGAGAGCCCCAAGAGGCGATGTTGGGGGCTCTAGAAGGGCAGCGCCAATTCAAGAACTCCCCTTCCTTGATCGATGTCCTCCAAGATGGTGCCAAGAAGGCTTCCGAGGCTCACAAGAGGGCCCCAAGAGGGACCCATTCGCTCCCAAATGTTTGAAGAGGGCTCCAAGAGCACCCAAGATGCTCAAATAAGCTCCCCACGAGCCAGCAAAAAGGTGTTCAAAACGCCCGAAGACGCCTCAAAGAGAACCTCAAGAAGCACCCCACGAGACCCAAAGAAGCATCCACGGGGTAACTGACCCACACGGGCACCCGATTTCTCTAAATGATGCCACGCTCCCCGTTCAGGGCACCTTCTCTGGGCATCATGTCTGGATTGGCTGGCGGGACGGCCAAGCCCCGAGAGCGACCAAGAGCGCCCCAAGAACGTCCCCGGTAGAGGCGGTTCGACTCATCCTCCTCCTCCTCCTCCATTTCCTCCTCCTCCTCCTCCTCCTCGTCCTCGTCCTCGCCCTCGCCCTCCTCCTCCTCCTCCTCCTCTTCCTCATCCTCCTCCTCCTCTGATTATTCGTCTTATTATTATTCGTATGATTATTCTTATTATTAGTATTATCATTATTAGTATTATTCGTATTGTTCTTATTGTTGTTATTAGCATTCGTCTAAGTTTTCTGATTCGTATGCTTATTTCTTCTTAGTATTATTATTATTAATCTTTTTCTTCTTATTATTATTAGTATTGTTCTTCTTATCACTAGTCTTCGTATTATTATTTCTTATTCTTATTATCATTATTATCATGCTTATTATTATTATTCGTATTCGTATTCGTCTGGTTATTATTCGTCTTGTTCTTCTTCTTCTTCTTATCATTATTAGTATTCGTCTTCTTCTTCATCCTCCTCCTCCTCCTCCCTCCTCCTCCTCCTCCTCCTCCTCCTCAGCCGCCTCAGCCTCAGCCGTAGTGTAGTGTCAGCCGTAGTGTAGTGTCATAGTGCACTGTCGCACCCAAGTGCCCCCAACACTACACTATGACATCACACGAACCGTAGCGTAGAGCTTTCTCTCGCGGAGCCGAGCCAAGCTAAACCCTAAGGAACCGCCGAGCCAACAGCACACACCCACACCCATTGAGGGGATCGGAGAGGGCTATGGGATTTTTTATATGGGATTTGTAATACACGACGAATTTATGCATAAATGCGTGCATGAACTCATCGTTGCTTGTAGTACTAAATCCCTGCATCTTTAACACATGATCCGCACGCGAAGCATGTATTAAAAACGACAATGTGCCCACAAGGGGGTCGGAGCGGGCTATGGGTGCGTGTTGTCGGACGGGGGGCCCCGCTCGAATGGGAGCGTTCCCCAGGGTCCGACAAGCCGCACCCATACCCATAGCCACTCCTCCTCCCCACGAACCCCCTATGGGTAGGGGTGTGTGTTGTTCGTTCGTCAAGGACTACGAGGCGGGGGGATTGGAGGCTTGGAAGTGGGCACCGACCCCAAACCAGGAGGCTGCGCTCACCGGGGAGGGGTGATCCCAGGTCCTGGTTGGCGGTAGATCTGTGTGGGGTGATCCTAGATCTGTGTGAGGCAGGTGGGGGGAGGGCGGGAGCCGTCGGCATCGGAGCAGGAAGCCAGGACTGCGAGGCGGAGGGATTGGGAGGCTTGGAAGTGGGCACCGACCCCAAACCAGGATTTTGTTTTTTCGCTTCAGCCCCTGAAGTTTCAACACCACTGGGGAGGCGACCCAGAGGTGAGGGTTTTGATCAACTGAGGGGGGGGGAGAACCCCTCAGCAAACGCACGTTTGGCGTGAGAACCAGCATCCTAAGACGGCATTGCGACCCCAAACCAGGAGGTTGCGCTCACCGGGGATGATGCTAGATCTGTGTGGGCGGTCATATTTCGTTCACCTAGGAAGCTCTAGTAGTGCCACCCATCGTCGAGATGGGGATCAGCTTTGCTCGGTGGAGGCACTCTGCTGATCTTGGTGTTGGTGCCAACCCCTGTGCCTCCGAGAGTTATCCATACTCCGAGTTTCTGAATAAGCGTCGGGTGGGCGTCACCCCCGCCGACAGGCCCACATCGACCCCCGTCGCGGGCAGCCACCGCGCGCCAAAGGCGCTCCGACCTCCGTCGCGGCGCGACGACGAGGCAAGGTTAACCCCCGTCGGGGGGGGTACCCCCCCACGCTTATTAAGAAACCCAGAGTGTCCACCGCCTGGGGAACCGACGACCTGGGACCCCAGCGGAGGGGGCCCGAATGCACCCATATCCACCGCTTGCCGAGGTCCCCGAAAATAGATCCTCTAGGCGGTGGTTATGGGTAAATTCCCGATTCGGAAGGGATCGAATCGGAAGCTCCCCGGAAATGCCGGGGGAGCGGTACCGGGAGCGTCCCCGAGATGTGGCGGGGATGTGTGAGACCTGGGGCCGGGGGGGGGGCGGTATTCATTTATATCATATAGAAAGGCGGGCGCGCTTCGCGCGCGCTTGGGTTCTAGCGCATGCCATGGCGCTGTTAGCTGCGCGTGCTCTTCGGACAGGCTCATTCCGTGCCTTGCCTTACCTCGTCCTCCAATATTCCTTATACGTCCTTCCTCGTTAACCCTCCAGACTCTCTCGGTTGTCCTCGCTTTTCGTTTCTCGTTCTTGTCGACGGCCTCCTCTTGCTTGGGATTATGCGGGGACTTCGAGCTGTTCAGGGCCGCTGTGGGAAGATATTCAGTATGAAGTGGGCTGGCTTGAAATGTACGGGTCTCTTGTGGATCTTCCTGTTTGGGCTGCCTTGAAGGCCTTGGGGCCCGCTTGGGCCTCTCTTGGGCTCTTCTTCGAAGTTGTGGGGCCGTCTCGAGCCTCGGCGCCATGTGAAGCTCTCCCGAAGCCATCCGAAGGAGACGAGCGTGAGATCTACTGAATATGGTGAAACCTGAATGGTTCTTGCGTCTGTGGCTCTCTGGGGTCATTCGGGAGGGCCTCTGGGAGTTCCACTGGGGCATCCTGTGGCCCCTGGGGGCCGTCTTGAAACCTCTTGGAGCGTCTCGGACCACGAAGGGGCCATCTTGGCGGCCAGCGGGCGTCCTCCCGAACCAGCTCGGAGCCACCTTCAGGCCGAAAGAACCACCCCAAAGACCCCGAAGCGGATCCCGGAGCCCATGGGGGGCAACTTGGGCTGCGAAGGCGGGGGGGGGGGGGGCCTCCCGAAGCAGGTACGGATTGCCTTGGCGGGGCTGGGGTGGGGGGGGAAGGAGGGGGCGGCGGGGGGGGGGGGAGGGAGGTGGGGCGGGCGGGGAGGGAAGGAAAGGAGGAGGGGAAGGGAAGTTTCGGAGGAAGGAGGGAAACGGGTGGGATGGGGGGAACGGAAGGAAGGGGGGGAGGGGGGAAAGGGGAAGGGAGGAAGAAGCGAGGAAGGGGAGGGGGGAGGGGGAGGAGGGAAGGAGGATGGGGGGGGGGGGGGGAAAGTCGGCCGCCCCAGGGCCACCCCAGGTCCCCTCCCCCAGGGGCGGTCCCGTCGTCTGCTTCCGTCGTCCGACGTCCGGCGTCCGTCCGCCCGCCATGCTGTTTCTCTATGGCAGCTCTGCCGCGGGCATCCTCTCTCGCCTGCTCCGAGCATACAGTGCCTGGGATGCAGCGACCAGCGCCGTAAATGAGCTGCTACCTTGGGCTGCAGCTCGCTGGACACTGCTGCGTGAGGGCGCTGCTACCTTGGGCTGCAGTGCCATGCAATTGAATACTCCAGCATCGCTTATCCCACACGGCACTTGAACGAGAGATGGACATGCTTGGTTCGCGCATGAATTTCTGCCCTGAGTCCTGAATGGATGAGCATCTGACCCAAATTCAAAATTCCCAGATTCCTTGGGGCCTTCGGAGGCTCCGCGAAACCGTTAAGAAGCCGGGAGGCGCGGTACCGGCCAGATGTCAGGGGATGTGTAGGACCCCCGAGTAGCAGTTCCACTTCGATGAAAAAAGGGAATTCGTGGAATTCCCTTTTTTTGTCCAAAATCCTCGATCTCTGAGGGTTGGAAGCAGGCAAACGTGAGAAGGCGGAAAACATTAGAAAAAGCTCTGGAAATCAATGATTTTACCCTCTTTGGGCTCTCTCGGGACTGCTCTCGCAGCTCTCTTGGGCTGTTCTTGGAGCCTCGTCGGGGTCTCTTTGGGGCCTCTCAGGGATCGGGGTGAATTTGGGGCCTCTGGGGGGTCCTGGAGGGCTCTCGGAGGTTTCTTAATCCCCCCTGCTCCCACTCTTGGGCCCATCTTGGGCCTGTTCTTGGGTGGTCTGGGGCTGTCCTGGGCGCCTCTTCGGCAATCTTGGAGCCTTCTTGGCCAGGCTTGGTGCCGTCCTGAGGGTCTCTTGGGTGGTCTTGGGCCGGTCTTGGGAGGCTCTTCGACGCTCTTGGACCATTGGAAGCTCGAAAACGCGAGAAGCCAAAAACATTGGAAAAAAACAACGAACATCTACGACTTTGGCATCTTTGGGGCGTCCCGGAACACCTATCAAACCTCTCTTACGGTCTCTTGAAGGTCACCTGGGAGCCTCGAGAGCCGTCGGAAGGCTGACTTGGGCTGCTTGGGAGCGTCTTGGGCCATCCTTTCGCATTCTGGGGGCTCCTGGGGGGCGTCTTGGGCCCTCCTGGAGTGCTGTGGAGGCTCCCCAGAAAGGCTGGGGGAGCGGTACCGGGAGCGTCCCCGAGATAAGGCAAGGAGGTGTGGGACCCGGGGGGGGGCGATATTTATTCATACACGCGTGTGTGAGTGTGTGTGTGTATGTATATGTGTATGTGTATGTGTATGTGTATGTGTATGTGTATGGGTAATTGTATGTGTATGTGTATGTGTATGTGTATGTGTACGTGTACGTGTACGTGTACGTGTACGTGTACGTGTACGTGTACGTGTACGTGTACGTGTACGTGTACGTGTACATGTATGTGTCTGTGTCTGTGTCTGTGTCTGTGTCTGTGTCTGTGTCTGTGTCTGTGTCTGTGTCTGTGTCTGTGTCAGTGTCAGTGTCAGTGTCTGTGTCTGTGCCTGTGTCTGTGCCTGTGCCTGTGCCTGTGCCTGTGTCTGTGTCTGCGTCTGCGTCTGCGTCTGCGTCTGCGTCTGCGTCTGCGTCTGCGTCTGCGTCTGCGTCTGCGTCTGCGTCTGCGTCTGCGTCTGCGTCTGCGTCTGCGTATGACTTTTTTTTTTTTTTTGGAGTTCGCGTCTTGTCTGCTTCTTTGTCTTGGCACAGCGCGCCCTGTTTTTTAGCACAGCGCGGTTTCGGCCCGGCCCCGCGCGCTCGCCCCTGCAGGGCAGGACTCGTTCCACCTCCTGCTCCAGTACACCGGCGCCCTGTCGGTCGTCACAGGCGGCATGATCATGGCATGTCCTGGCTGCCGCGCCTCAGTCACTGCGGCTCCCGTACCCTGGACCCGTGGCACCCTGGACGACCACGGCCTGGGCCACTCGCTCCTGCTACCTGTTCGATGGCACAACGTTGCACTTCGGCTCAGCGGTGATCTCCGCCCTCCCTGGTCTCTGACGCCGCTTGGGTGCAAGGCGCGTCACCTCCCGCCGCCAACTCGAGGCTGGTGTATATGATGAGCCGTGGACGGCAACACCAACCACAGCATTTCGCTTGTGCCGGTACTTCGCCACCGGGTTCCTGGACAAGGCGCACCTTTGCAAGCACGTCGATTTCGGCACCGCCTGATCCCGAGGCTTTGCCTCCTCCCGGCCTTGCCCTGCGGCTGCGCTCATTCCCTCCTCCCCCTCTTTGTTCATTCAAGCTTCCCGCGGCCCGCTTAGCTTCGACCGGAAGAGGTGCGCTCTCGACCCGCGAATCAAAACGTGTGTTGTATGTGTGTGTGTTGTGTGTGTTCTGTGTTGTGTGTTGTGTGTTGTGTGTGGTATGGGTGGTGTGTGTGGTGTGTGGTGTGTGTGGTGTGTGTGGTGTGTGGTGCGTGTCTTGCGTGTGGGGCGTGTGGTGCGTGTGGTGCGTGTTGTGCGTGTGGTGCGTGTGGTGCGTGTGGTGCGTGTGGTGCGTGCGGTGCGTGCGGTGCGTGTGGTGCGTGTGGTGCGTGTGGTGCGTGTGAAGCGTGTGGTGCGTGTGGTGCGTGTGGTGCGTGTGGTGTGTGTGGTGCGTGTGGTGCGTGTGGTGCGTGTGGTGCGTGTGGTGCGTGTGGTGCGTGTGGTGCGTGCGGTGCGTGTGGTGCGTGTGGTGCGTGTGGTGCGTGTGGTGCGTGTGGTGCGTGTGAAGCGTGTGGTGCGTGTGGTGCGTGTGGTGCGTGTGGTGCGTGTGGTGCGTGTGGTGCGTGTGGTGCGTGTGGTGCGTGTGACGTGTGCAGCGTGCGCGAGCGCGGGCGGTGCGTGTGCGTTTGGGGTGTGTGTGTGTGCGCGTGCGCGCGGGCGCACGCGCGCGGCGCGATGTGTGTGTGGTGTGCTGTGTGTGTGTGGGTGTGGGTGTGGGGTGTGTGGGTGGTGTGGGTTAGTGGGTGCAGTGTGTGCGTGGGTGCGTCGGGTGCGTGGGTGCGTGGGTGCGTGGGCGGCGTGTGTGCGTGGTTAGCGGCGGTGCGTGGGTGCGTGGCGTGCGTGGGTGCGTGGGTGCGTGAGGGTGGTTGTGTGGGTGTGGGGATGTGGGGGTGTGTGGGTGTGTGGTGCTGGGGGTGGGGTGCGTGCTATCGTGGCTAAGTGGGTGGGTGGGCGTGTGGGTGTGTGGGTGTGTGGGTGTGTGGTGTGTGGGTGGGTGGGTGTGAGGTGTGTGGGTGTGTGGGGTGTGGTGTGTGGGTGGGTGGGTGTGGGGTGTGTGGGCGTGTGGGTGAGCGTGGGTGCGTGGAGTGAGTGGTGCGTGGGTGCGTGGGTGCGTGGAGTGCGTGGGTGCGTGGGTGCGGGTGCGTGGTGCGTGGGTGCGTGGGGTGGTGACAGTGCGTGGTGGTGGTGTGAGTGGGTGCGGGGGTGCGTAGAGTGCGTGGGTGCGATGGGTGTGGGGATGCCGTGGGGCGTGGGTTGGAGGGGTGCGTGGGTGCGTGGGTGCGTGGGTGCGTGGGTGCGTGGGTGTGTGGGTGCGTGGGTGTGTGGGTGCGTGGGTGTGTGGGTGTGTGGGTGTGTGGGTGTGTGGGTGTGTGGGTGTGTGGGTGTGTGTGGGTGGGTGTGTGGGTGTGTGGGTGTGTGGGTGTGTGGTGTGTGTGGGTGTGTGGGTGTGTGGGTGTGTGGGTGTGTGGGTGTGTGGGTGTGTGGGTGTGTGGGTGTGTGGGTGTGTGGGTGTGTGGGTGTGTGGGTGTGTGAATGGGTGAATGGGTGAATGGGTTTGTGGGTGTGTGTGTGTGTGGGTGTGTTGGTGTGTTGGTGTGTGGGTGTGTGGGTGTGTGGGTGTGTGGGTGTGTGGGTGTGTGGGTGTGTGGGTGTGTGGGTGTGTGGGTGTATGGGTGTGTGGGTGTGTGGGTGTGTGAGTGTGTGGGTGTGTGGGTGTGTGGGTGTGTGGGTGTGGGTGTGTGCGTGCGTGCGTGCGTGCGTGCGTGCGTGCGTGCGTGCGTGCGGAACCACGCGCGCGCTTCGCGCGCGCTTAGGTTCTACCGTGTCACAGACACAGGATTCGCTGTGCGGTAAATACTTGGAGCTTGTCTCAGGCAAGTGAGGACTCCAATGGCAACATCTGCTTGAGGCACCGCCCGGGGCGGACCCTGTGTAGAGTGTGGAAAGTCGGACCAGCTCTCTGGTCGACCCTCTTGGGCGCGCCCTGGGGCTCTCTTGGGCCGTTTTGGGGGGCCCAGTGGGGGGCTGTTTCGGGGCCTCTCTTGGTGTTTTGTTCGGGTCTCTTGGGGGCCTCTTGGGGCTTCTTGGGGCTTCTTGGGCGCCTCTTGGAGCCTCTTGGGGTCTCCTGGGGGCCTCTTGGGCCAAAACGCTCAAATCTTCGGTTCCTCGTCGCCGTCTTGGGCGCCGACTCGGGGCGTTCTTGGGCGGTTTGGGCGCCTCGGAGGCCGTCTTGGCCATCTCGTGGGCCGTCTTGGACGCAGTGGAAGCCCAAAAGGTGAACACGCCAAAAAGACCAGTTGGCCCATAGGAAATCTGCGATTTTGGCTTATTGGGGCTCGATTGGGGTGCCCCTTGGGGTGTGTTCGGGGTCTCTTTTTGTGTTTTTGCGGGTCTCTTGGGGGGGACCTCTTGAGGCTTCTTGGGCGTTTCTTGGAGCCTCTTGGGGTCTCCTGGGGGCCTCTTGGGCCAAAACGCTCAAATCTTCGGTTCCTCGTCGCCGTCTTGGGCGCCGACTTGGGGCGTTCTTGGGCGGTTCTCGACCGTCTTGGGTGCCTCTTCGGCCGTCTTGGACGCAGTGGAAGCCCAAAAGGCGAACACGCCAAAAATATCAGTTTCCCCATCGGAAATCAACGATTTTTGCTTATTGGGCCTCTCTCATGGTGCCTCTTGGGGCGTCTTCGGGGCTTCCGGGGGCCTTCTTGGCGTCATGGGAGCCGTCTTGCAAGGCATCCAGAGCCACGTTGTCGAGCGTTCCGAAGCCATCTTCGGGCGATCTTGGACGGCCCCCGGCGCTCCGGCAGGGCTCCCGTCGCGCCGGGCCCCACATGGGGTCGTCTTGGAGCCCTCTTGGGAGCCTGCGGGGCAGTCTTGGGGGCCTCTTGGGCCGTCTTGGGCGCAGTGGAAGCCCAAAAGGCGAACACGCCAAAAACATATATTTTCCTATCGGAAATCGACGATTCTGGCTTATTGGGGCTCTATTGGAGTGCCACTTGGGGCATGTTCGGGAACTCTTTTTGTGTTTTTGCGGGTCTCTTGGGGGCCTCTTGAGGCTTCTTGGGCGCCTCTTGGAGCCTCTTGGGGTCTCCTGGGGGCCTCTTGGCCCAAATGGCTAGCATTTTCGGTTCCTCGTCCCCGTCTTGGGCGCCGCCTTGGGGCATTGTTGAGCGGTTTAGGCGTCTCGTGGGCCGTCTTGTAGCCCACTTGGGGACATCCTCGACCGGCTTGGGTGCCTCTTCGGTCGTCTTGGACGCAGTGGAAGCCCAAAAGGCGAACACGCCGAAAAGATCAGCTGGCCCACAGGAAATCGACGATGTTTGCTTATTTGGGGCTCTATTGGGCTGCCTCTTGGGGGCCTCTTGGCACCTCCTGGGGACCTCTTGGGGTCTCCTGGGAGCCTGGGACGCCGAAAACTCCGAATTTGAATACGGTTCTAAACCTCTGGGACCCCTCTGGGGCTCGTCCTGGGGCTCTCTTGGGCTGTCTTGGGGTCTTCTCGGGCCGTCTTAAGACCCTCTTGGGATCGTCTTGGAGCCCTCTTGGGGGCCTCTTGGGCCGTCTTGGACGCAGTGGACGCCGAAAAGGCGAACACGCCAAAAATACCAGCTTTCCCATACGAAATCGATTATTTGTGCTTATTGGGCCTCTCTCGGGGTGCCTCTTGGGGCGTCTTCGGGGCCTTCGGGGGCCGTCTTGGCGTCATGGGAGTCGTCTTGAAATGCGTCTGGAGCCACCGCTGCGGCCTCCTGGGGACTCCCTGCAGCCTCTTGGGGCCTTGTTGGCCCCAGGTCGCCGAAACCCCGTAAAAAACACAAGGAAAACGACGCCCTGGCCCCACATTTGTGGTCGTGGTCCTGGCCCCCGGCCCCCGGACCCAGTCCCCCGTTATATGTACAGTATCCTTTTCATTATCGTGATCCTTCTCCTCCTCCTCCTCCTCCTCCTCCTCTTCCTCCTCCTCCTCCTCCTCCTCAGCCGCCTCAGCCTCAGCCGTAGTGTAGTGTCAGCCGTAGTGTAGTGTCATAGTGCAGTGTCGCACCCAGGTGCCCCCAACACAACACTATGACATCACACGAACCGTAGCGTAGAGCATTCTCTCGCGGAGCCGAGCCAAGCTAAACCCTAAGGAACAGCAAGCGTAAAACAAACTCTTCTGCCCCCCCCTCCTCAGCGGTAGTGTAGTGTCACAGTGTAGTGTCGCACCCCGTTGTCCCCAACACTATACTATGACACCACAGTATGTAACCGTAGCGTAGAATTCTCTCTCGCGGAGCGGAGCCAATGAAAAGCCCTACGGAACAGCAGGCAACAAAAAAACTCAGCCCCTCTCCTCAGCCGTAGTGTAGTGTCATAGTGCAGTGTCGCACCCCGTTGTCCCCGACACTATAGTATGGCACCACAGTAACCGTAGCGTGAAGTTCTCTCTCGCGGAGCGGAGCCAGCTAAAAACCCTACGGAACAGCAGGCAAAAAAAACGAAGCCCCTCTCCTCAGCCGTAGTGTAGTGTCATAGTGTAGTGTCGCACCCCGGTGTCCCCAACACTATACTATGACACCACAACAGCCGTAGCGTAGGGACCTTTCTCGCGGAACGGAGCCATTCAAAAACCTTACGGAACAGCAGACAGGAAAAACTCAACCCATCTCCTCAGCCGTAGTGTAGTGTCATAGTGTAGTGTCGCACCCAAGGGTCCCCAACACTATACGATGACACCACAGCAACCGTAGCGTAGAGCACCCTCTCGCGGAGCGGAAAAAACTCTGCCCCCCTCCTCGGCCGTAGTGTAGTGTCATAGTGTAGTGTCGCACCCCCGTGTCCCCAACACTACACGTTTCAACCACCGTAACCTCAGTGTAGTGTCATACTGTAGTGATACACGCAAGGGTTCTCGACACCACACGATGACACCACACTTACCTTAGTGTAGTGTCACACAGTAGTGTCACACGCAAGGGTTCTCGACACAACATTATGACACCACACTAACCCTAGTGCAGTGTCATATTGTAGTGTCGCACGCAAGGGCTCTCGACTCTACACTATGACACCACACTAACCTTAGTATAGTGTCACACTGTAGTGTCACACGCAAGGGTTCTCGACACTACACTATGACACCACACTAATCTTAGTGTAGTGTCAGGCTGTAGTATCGCACGCAAGGGTTCTCGACACTACACTGTGACACCACACAAAAGTTCACTCTCTTCACGATTAACGAGTTCTTATTCACGAGTAAGATTAACCCTTAACAGAGGCCGTGGCAATCCTCACGGCCCCATAGCAAGTAATTTGTGAAAAGAAGACCATCTATAGGACCAGTTCGCGCTTGCAGCGCAAAACTCCCTTGGTCACAGACGAGTGGTCCCCACCGCCGAGCAAACCGCCGACTGGATACCCCGACTTGCCCAAATTCTTGACGAACAAATTCAGGTAGGAAATGCCTCCGCCAGTACGGCCCCATACGGTCTTCAATTGAATGCTGTGGAAGCTCAGCCAGCCCGTTCCTTTTCTGTGAGCCTGCGGCTGCTTGGCCGTGTAATGGAAGCCGCCCTCGCGCACGCCGTCCGCCCACTTGCCGGTCACATTGAGGGACACAAAGTAAACGTCCGAGCAGGCGTCGCCCAAACGCTGTGCCACGGCCGCGACGGCCAGGAGCGTCGCGCTCTCCGCTGCAAACTGTGGGACCTCGACCAGCAAGTGTTTGCCGACCTTAAGGAGATCAAAACGCTCCCCGTAAATATTTACCAAGTGGGGATCCCCGACTGCAGCAGCAGTCACTGCAGCCGGCGCTGGCGAAGGCACCGGCGTCGGTGCCTCGATCCCAAAGATGCGAACGTGACCTGATTTTGACCCAGCACCGTCGTTGTAGGTCGCTCCTATGGCCACGCGGCTGCCGTCGCTGCTCAGCGACACCATGCCACTGTAATCGTAAGAGGCTTCGCCATCGATGTCCTGCCCCAACTGGCTCCATGTGTTGCCCGAAAGCCCGAAGACGCGAACGTGACCTGAACTTGGCCCAGCACCGTCGTTGTAGGTCGCTCCTATGGCCACGCGGCTGCCGTCGCTGCTCAGCGACACCGACCCGCCACTCTGATCGCCTGGGGCTTCGCCATCGATGTCCTGCCCCAACTGGCTCCATGTGTTGCCCGAAAGCCCGAAGACGCGAACGTGACCTGACCTGTACCCAGCACCGCCGTTGTAGGACGCTCCTATGGCCACGCGGCTGCCGTCGCTGCTCAGCGACACCGACCAGCCACTGTAATCGTAAGAGGCTTCGCCATCGATGTCCTGCCCCAACTGGCTCCATGTGTTGCCCGAAAGCCCGAAAACGCGAACGTGACCTGACCTGTACCCAGCACCGCCGTTGCCGGTCGCTCCAATGGCCACGCGGCTGCCGTCGCTGCTCAGCGACACCGACTCGCCACTGTAATCGTAAGAGGCTTCGCCATCGATGTCCTGCCCCAACTGGCTCCATGTGTTGCCCGAAAGCCCGAAGACGCGAACGTGACCTGACACGTACCCAGCACCGTCGTTTAAGTGCGCTCCTATGGCCACGCGGCTGCCGTCGCTGCTCAGCGACACCGACCCGCCACTGTAATCGCCAGAGGCTTCGCCATCGATGTCCTGCCCCAACTGGCTCCATGTGTTGCCCGAAAGCCCGAAGACGCGAACGTGACCTGACCAGTACCCAGCACCGCCGTTGTAGGACGCTCCAATGGCCACGCGGCTGCCGTCGCTGCTCAGCGACACCGACCAGCCACTGTAATCGTAAGAGGCTTCGCCATCGATGTCCTGCCCCAACTGGCTCCATGTGTTGCCCGAAAGCCCGAAGACGCGAACGTGACCTGAACTGTACCCAGCACCGCCGTTGTTGATCGCTCCAATGGCCACGCGGCTGCCGTCGCTGCTCAGCGACACCGACTTGCCACTCTGATCGCCTGGGGCTTCGCCATCGATGTCCTGCCCCAACTGGCTCCAGGAGGCCCCATTCACCATGTGGTCAGCCGCCTCGACTTGGCGTTGTCCTTTCTGCTGGCTGGCGTTCACGTGGAGCACCATGGAGGTCACTGTAGGCACGCCCTTACGGGAACTGACGCGGGCGAGGTCGAAGCTCGTGGCGTCCGTGCCGAGCTGCAGGAGCACGGTGTCATCCTGCTGAAAGTTGACCTCCGCCGCTGCGGTCGTGCCGCAGACGCCGTGGACGAGGAGAGGGATCAGCAAGCACACTCGGACAGGCGCCTTCTGGGCCATCGTGGCGTGCACGTCTCAAAGGCGAACTCGAGGAATAGGTGGTTCGGTCAGGCACGTACGTTGGCGTTTCTCGCTTGAGCCAGATGGCGCCAAAATGCTACCGACAGACACACACACACATTCACACACACACATTCACACACATTCACATTCACATTCACATTCACATTCACATTCACATTCACATTCACATTCACATGCACATGCACATTCACATTCACATTCACATTCACATTCACATTCACATTCACATTCACGCACACGCACACGCACACGCACACGCACACGCACACGCACACGCACACGCACACGCACACGCACACGCACACGCACACGCACACGCACACGCACACGCACACGCACACGCACACGCACACGCACACGCACACGCACACGCACACGCACACGCACACGCACACGCACACGCACACGCACACGCACACGCACACGCACACGCACACGCACACGCACACGCACACGCACACGCACACGCACACGCACACGCACACGCACACGCACACGCACACGCACACGCACACGCACACGCACACGCACGCACACGCACACGCACACGCACACGCACACGCACACGCACACGCACACGCACACGCACACGCACACGCACACGCACACGCACACGCACACGCACACGCACACGCACACGCACACGCACACGCACACGCACACGCACACGCACACGCACGCACACGCACGCACGCACGCACGCACACGCACGCACACAAGCACACACGCACACGCACACGCACACGCACACGCACACGCACACGCACACGCACACGCACACGCACACGCACACGCACACGCACACGCACACGCACACGCACACGCACACGCACACGCACACGCACACGCACACGCACACGCACACGCACACGCACACGCACACCCACACACCACACACACACACCACACACACACACACACACACACCACACACACACACACACACCACCACACACACACACACACACACCCTGGGGCTTCGGCCCGTCCCGCCGGAGTCTTGGGAGATTGCCGAAAACCCGGTTGCAAATGTTTTTGTTGCTCCATAAGGCTCCAAGACGGCCCAATATGGTCTCCAAAATGCATCCAAGACGGTCAAGATGGCCTCCAAGACGGCTCAGATGGCCCCAAGATGATGCCTCCAAAACGGCCCAACATGTACACTAGTGGGCCTAAGATAGCCTGAAGATGGCCCGAGACGGCCCACGAGCCCCCCCAGAGGCTTCCAAGACGGCCCAAAAGGCCCCCAAGAGGTCCTCCAGGAGGGTCCGAATATGCCAAAATCATTGATGTTCTCTCGGTTTTTGAAGGATTTTGGTATTTGCGCATGTTCGCCTTCCGACGGCACGAGATGGCACAAGAGGCCCCCAAGATCGCCCAAGAGGCCCCCAAGAGGGCCCCATGACGACCCAAGTGGCCTCCAAGACGGCCCCAAAAGGGCCCGAAAACGGCCCAAGAGGCCCCCAAAGGGCCTCCAGAAAGGCCAGAAGAGGCAAACAACATGTCAAAAACATTGATGGTCCTAAGGTGTTGGACGGATTTTGACATTTGTTTTTTTTTCTGGCCTTCCGATGGCCCGAGACGGCCCGAGAACCCCCAAAAATCGCCGAAAGATCGCCCAAGAGGCCTCCAAGATGGCCCCAGAATGGCCCAAGAGGGCCCCATGACGGCCCCAAGAGGCCCCAAATACGGCACAGGAGGCCTTTGAGACACCCAAAATGGCCTCCAAAACGGCCCTGGAGCATTCCAAGAGGGCCCCAAATCGGCCCCTAGAGGCCCCCCAAACGGCTTGTGACGGCGTCAGACGGACCAGGGGCCCCCCAAGACGGCCGAAAATGGCCCCAAGATGGCCCAAAAGGCCTCCAAGACGTCCTCCAGGAAGGCCCTGGGGCTTCGTCTTCGATCCGCCGCCCCCCTGTCGATCCGTCGCCCCCTGTCGATTCATCGCAAAGCGCCTGGCGTGCTGGATCCTATCGGTTTTGCTTCTTTTCCAACACAAACTGCCCCTGGGGCCTCGGCCCGCCCCGCCGGGCATCCGGAAAAAATCGCAACAAGCCTGGACTCACGCAGGTGCCGAAAATGCGCGGCGGCGCTCGGCGCCACTTACTCTTAGCCCCCCGAAGGTTCGAGAGAACCTTCGCCCCTTTAGCTTCCATGACTCTCGTCATCCTCAGTTTCAGGCCTGTACCTTCCCATTGTTTGATTCCTCCTCCAGCTTCTTCACCTCCACCTTCATCCCCCTAATATCCTCCCTTCTTTGCATTGTAGAAGATGAAAGAAGAGGGAAGCCAGGGGGCAACGAGGAACAGCTATGAGAGGATGATAGTATGGAGGGCGAGGAACAGGACGGGCAAGAGGAAAGGGAGGGAGGGCGAAGGGGGAGAGCGAGGAGGCGAAGGTACGATAAGGAGAGGCGGAGGGGAAGAAGGGTGAGATAAGGATAGGTGGAGGATAAGGAGAGGTGGGGGATAAGGAGAGGTGGATGGGGTAGGATGAGGAGGAGAGAAGAAAAGGCGAGGAGAAGACGGAGCAGGGGGAGGAGGAGGAGGACAAGGAGGAGGAACAGCGCCGGGTGCCCCCTCTGGCGGGGGCTGGCGGGCGGCAGCGCAGCAGCAGCCACGCCGCCGCCGCCAGGGCCACCGCGCCGTGGCAAGGCCCGCCTGGCGGTGGTGGGGGCCGCGTTTCCTCCTTTTTCTTATTCGTCTTTTCCTCCACCTCCTCATCTTGCTGTCTGGTTGGCATCGTCCTCCTCATGCTCCCTCTTCTCGTGCCCCCTCCAAGGATTATGGGGCGCTGCCTCCAACATAGCATCATTCTTCCATGCCTCGTTGTCATCGTCGTATCATCGTCGTCGCGCTTGTCTTCGCCATCATTCATTATCCGTGTCCTCTTCCTCCTCGCATACCTCTTTCTCGTTCTCATCGTTGCCCTCTTCCTCATTTCCTCATCTTTCTCATCGCCGCGTGCTCCTTTAATTGGCCTACCTCGCCTTGCGGTCGCTAGGAGTCCTCCCCTGCCCCAGCCAGCAACGCCGATGTCATCATCATCTTTAGTAGAATCAGCAATCAGTTATTTCACTGTGCCCCCCTCCTCCTCCTCCTCATCCTCCTCCTCCTCCTCCGCCTCCTCCTCCTCCTCTCTCTACTGCCCTTCTCTCTTTATAATAGTATGTGTATCTCCCCCCTTCACTGTCGCCCCATGTTCTTTCTCCCATTAGAAGCTTCCCCCTTATTATCCGTCACAGTACAAGCAACAGCGCGACAGTGACTGGCGCAAGCAAGCGCGCTCTTTTTCGCGCTCAACGCGCATCTCCATTCCGATTGTTAGGAGCCGCGAATTCTCCATGGCGCCTTGGGCGTGCTTGGTCAACCCATCCTCCCCATCAGGAATCTCCCCGCCCCCCCCCCTCCCCCCCCCCCCTCCCCTCCCCCTCCCCTCCTCCTCCTCCTCCTCCTCCTCCTCCTCCTCCTCCTCCTCCTCCTCCTCCTCCTCTTCCTCCTCCTAGGGCGTCGGCGGAAGAGAAGGGTCCTCGAAGATCCACATCAGCTGCTGGCCAGCCTCATGCGGGCAAGGCTCGATCGAACCTGCGGCGCGAGCTCGAGGTTTCCCTCGGCGGTTAAAGACGGAGAATGGCCAGGGGGAGCAACGGCGGCAGCGGCGGCGGCGGCATTGTTGTACATTAAAAGAGCTGCGGCACAAGGCTCGAGAGACGATAAGGAAGGCACACGCACACACCATAACGCTCAAGAGGACACACAGGGAGGGGGTTAGGATGGGATATGACATGCCGGCACTCTAGGCACCTCGGACAGTGGGCCCAATAGTGTACATAAGTGTCGGGACCCCCACATCCGAATACGCATCCCGAGACAATCTGATCATGGAGCCTCATGGTGGTGATCCAAGAGCACGTCAAAGTCTTCATTACGGCAGTGCTACAACTGACAGTGGCGCTACGCAAGAGCCCTCGGAGCATATCCCAGTCCATTGCGGAAATCTTACCAGACAAAGCAGGATGCCAGACATTAAATCGACGTGAGCGCGTTGAGGGAAAAGTGCCGGAGAAGACCGAATTTCGAAGACTCTCGGCGACGGCTCGCTGATCTTCGGCATCTTACCCAGGGCAGAGCTTGCGGCAATAGCATCTCGCGCGGCACGGATCGCAGCACAGCCAGGTGCACTAAAGGTGTGGTCGCCAACAAATCCCGATGCTGCATGTCTCAGATGCGACACCAGTGGTGGGCTACGCCAGTGATCAGGAGACAGTCTACCAAGGCCTATGTCCGCTAGGGAAAAGTGGCGGCGCGAAGCGCTGTACAATAACTGATACAGCTGTTTCCACTCAGGGGTATGGAGTGCGGTTCTTATCATCGCAGCTCTGGCAGTTACCTCGATGCCCGGGATCCTCGGACGGCCCCAGGCACCCCAAGAAAAAAGAACTCACCGCGGGAAAGCGAGCAGCGCGGCAGACGGAAGAGGGCCGCCAGCAACGCATGCTCTTTCAAACCAAGCTTTAGCTCGTGACTCGGGAGCGGCACGAATTGAGAGACATAGCTTAGAAGTGGGTGCGGCACGCTTACTGTATAAGTACTGAGTCGCCGAAGTCGGCGATCTCGCTCGAGCGATCTCGCAGCCGCGACGGTGCCATTGCTCAAGGGGGGCCTTCCAGACTTCGTGGACAACACTCGGACCCAAGACAATCCCAAGACGACGAAGATGTTCAAGACCGCGGAGCGCAGCGCCGACGTCATCCGCACAAGCTCGGGCCACGCCTCGCATGCGGGGCTCCAGCACGTTGTAGATGTCAGTCAAGAATGCGTGAGATGATATAGCGTATATCAGACCCGACGCGGGGCAGCCCTGGACGATGCCACTCTCGACCAGGAAGGCGAACGCCAGCTCGTTGCCAGCGTGCACACTGCAGCGAACATCCACATAAAGGCTACGCAGATAGTGAAGAAGTGGAGCAGGTAAATGAAGACGCCGAAGGCACATCAGCAGCCACTCGTGCGCGATCGAAGGAAAGGCCTGGCCGTAATCGAAGGCCACCAATGAGGGCAGCCTCATGTTGTGCCCAATCTGACTTCAG